TCAACTCAAGTGCTCTTTCAGATTTTTTAATGTAGGCAGTAAGAGCTATAAACTTCCCTCTTAGGACTGCTTTTAGTGTGTCCCAGACATTTTGTTGTGGTGTGTTCCCATTTTCATTTTGTTCCAAGAATACTTTTATTTATTTCTTAATTGCATCATGATTCAGGAGTGTGTTATTTAATCTCCATGAGTTCTTGTTTTTACTAAAGCTTCTTTTGCTGTTGATATAGTGCTTTATTGCACTATGGCCTGATAGAATGCATGGAATTATTTCAATTTTTTTTTGTATTTGTCGAGATTTGTTTTGTGTCCCAGAATGTGGTCAATTTTAGAATAACTTGCATGAGCTGCTGAGTAGAAAGTGCATTCTTTGGTGGTTAGGTGGAATATTCTGTATATATGTTAGATTCATTTCATGTAGTATATCATTTAATTCAGATGTCTCTCTGTTTATTCTTTGTCCTGCTGACATGTCTATTGAAGACAATAGGGTATTAAAGTCTCCAACTATCACTGAGTCGGTGTCAATCTCTGTTTCATAATCCTGGACTACTAATTTTATGAAATTGGGTGCTCCAGAGTTTGGTGCAAATATGTTTATGATTGTAATATCTTCTTCGTCAATTGTTCCTTTGATTAGAATGAAGTAACCCTACTTATCTCTTCTGATGAGTTTTATTTTGAAGTCTATTTTCTCAGAAATTAAAATTACAACACCTGCTTTCTTCTTAGGGCCATTTGCTTGGAATATTTTTTCCATCCTTTCACCCTAATATAGTGTTTATCCTTGAAGGTGAGATGAGTTTCTTGAAGAACCGCCCACCCCCAAAAAAGCTTTTTTTCTTGTTCCATTGCACCAGCCTGTCTTTTGGCAGGGGCATTGAGGTCATTGATACTTCATGTTATTATTGAAAGGTCTGTATTGAATACTGTTGATTTAGTTTGTGTTTGTGGCCCTATTTTGTGTTTCCATTGTTATACTTTTCTTTTTTTTTTTCCTGTAACCTCTTGGGTATACTCATTCCTTTCTTCGGTCCTGTGTCACGGAAAATTTTCTGTTCCCCTTCTATCTTGACTGACAGCTTTTCTGGACAAAGTATATGGGTTTGACATCCATGGTTGTTTAGAACTGGGAATACTTTGTCCCAGGCTCTTCTGGCTTTCATAGTCTGCATTGAAAAGTCTGCTGTAATTCTGATAGGTTTTCCTTTATATGTAACTTCTTGATTTTTTCTAGCAGCTTTCAGTGCCCTCTCTTTGTTCTGTACATTTATGTTTTCACTATGATATGCTGTGGGGACTTTCTGTTCTGATCATGTCTTAATGGTGTCCTCTGTGCCTCTTGAATCTCTATAGGTATATCTTTCCTTAATTTAGGGAAGTTTTCTTCTTTAGCCCTATTGAATATCTGTTCTTTGCCATTAGTTTGGGTTTCTTCTCCTTCCTGTATACCTGCAATACTTAGATTTGGTCGTTTCATGATGTCCCATATTTTCTGAGTATTCCATTCCTGTAGATTTTTAAAATTTTGCATAGTCTTTGCTTAAGGGGTCCTGATCTTCAACTTTATCCTCCAGTCTTGATAGTCTGTTTTCCATTTCATTCACTCTGCTTATGAGACTTTCTTCTGTAGTTTCTAATTGGTTTATTGAGTCTTTCAGTCCTGTGTTCATTTCCATTTGGGTTTTCTTCACTATTTCTATCTCTTTAGTGAATTCACTTTTCAAGTTATAAATTGTTTTGATATTTAAATAAGCTGCATATTTGGGCTTCCATCAAAAGTTTATGCCTTTCCTCCTTTAGTTGTCTGTGTTTTCTTGAAATTCTTTGATCACGCTTATGATTGTTCTTTTAAATTCTGCTTCCTGAGGTTCTACAGGGTTGTTCACAATGCTGTGTATTTCTGTAGGACTTGTGAGTTTTCTTAGGGACATATTTTCCTGCTTTTTCATATTGCTTGTGTTTTTGCATTGTAGTTTGGGCATATGGGTGTTCTTTATTGGGTATGTGTTCAACAGGAACTTCTACTCTGCTTTTGTTTAACCTAATTTTGGTTCTGTTAACATTGTTTAGGTAGCTTAGTTACTTTTTGTTTAAGTATGGAAGATAAATTGGTGAGTATTTCGATTTCTTGCTGGACTGGTCAGAATCTTGCCTGAGCAAGCCTGTCTGCCTGATCCAGAGGCTGGGAATTTGGCAATGAGGGTACTGCCTGGGTAAGGACTTGGGGATCTATGGTAGGGTGATAAGTTAATCTGGTTTGAGAAGCTAGTCCTGGGACTTGAGGTGAAGGAATTGGAGCCCACCTGTGAGAGAGGCCTGCAGGGGATGGGGTGGGGTTAGATGAGAGAAATGGGGCAGCTAGTTCTCCTGAGGTGAAGGAATTGGAGCCTGCCTTTGGAGAGGCTGGCAGGGGATGGGTAGGAGTGGATGAGAAAAATGGGGTAGGAAGGCAGTGAGCTTGATCTGACTTACCAGAGTCCTGGCTGAGCTGATCTGTCTGCCTGTCTGCCTGATCCAGAGGCTGGAAATTTGGCTGTGAGGGGATGGGGTAGGAGGGATGAGAGAAATAGGGGAGCTAGTCCTCCTGAGGTGAAAGAATTGCTTATTTCTCAACCTTTAACATAAGTCACTTACATTGGGTATTTCTCTGCTGATGTCTTGTGTTGATTGTCTATTAGCAAGAGTGTGCTATTAGTCACCCATTATTATTGTACTCCAGCCAATCTGTGCCTCTTTATCCATTAGTGTTTATGAAATTGGGTGTGCTGATGTTTGATGCACATGTACAGATTTCTACTATCCTCTGTAGACACTGATCCTTAATATGGTAAGATTATCTTTATTTCTTTTGAGGATTCAGGTTTGAAGTGTATTTTCTTAAATATCAATATATCCATACCTGCTTGCTTTCTAATAATTTGTGGTTAGTATACCTTTTCAAGTCCATTTACTTTTAGCTTATGATTCTTTTGCCAGGAATCTGTGCTACTTCAGGTTTTTTAAAAAGATGGTTTATTTTGACTGGGCAATTGAAAGCATAATGATATGAACTGATATTAAAATATGTATATGAACTCATACCATTTGTTTTCTAATGTTTGGTTCTATCTTAACACTCATTCACTTACTTGCTGTGCTAGAATGGCTTAATCTTTCCTGTGTCCTCATGGATGTATTTATTCATCTTTCTCTTCCATGTGTAGAATTTATTAAAGTATGTTCTGTAGTCTAGGATTAGTGGCCATGGAAGACTGTTCTTTCTCCTTTAGTCATAAAGTATAGAATTACTGGATAGTTATGGGGCTGATTGTAGAACTTGAAATACATTGTTCCTTACCCTCCTAGCCTTTAGACTGTCTGTTGAGAAACCCACTCAGAAGTAAGTTGGTGCTTCTCTCTCTTTTCAATATCTTTTGTTCTGTACAATTAGTTTTTAGTCATTATAGGAAATGGGGAGGTTCTTTGAAGTTCTTCTCTATTTGGTATTCATGATACTCTTGATCTTGATGGGACTCTCCCCAGATTATGGAAACTGTTATTTCATGGACTATCTTCTATGCTCATGTTTTGTAAATTTCCTCTATCCATTGTGTCCATAGATCTCATAATTTCGAATAGTATGCAAGAGTCGTTTTCCCCACATTAATAGAAAAGATCATTCTTTGGATCTGATAGAGATCAGACCAAGTTTTCAGGAACACAGTCTTGAGAAGAGAAAAGCAGTTGGCAAAGATATTAAGGAAGAAAATTCTGATATCATGAAATCTACTGGCCATCAATACCTGGCTCTATGGAGCTGGAGAGATGGATCAGCAATTAAGAGCATGGGTTGTTCTTGTTGAGGATTTGGGTTTGGTTTGTAGTACCACATAGTGGATAACAACCATCTATAACTCCAGTTCCAGGAGATGTATTGTCCTCTTTTGGCCTCCTTGGGTATTGCATGCATGGGCACATTTAAAAGCAGGGAAACCTCTCAAGACACAGAAACTAAAAGGAAAATAATTTTGAAGGCTCAAGTTATAAGTGGGCTTCTTTTTGTGCTTACATTTGCCTGATGTTTTGGACTGCCTTATTATTTTGCCAAAAACTCCAAGACAAAATTTAGAAGTGATTTCTAGAGTAGACGAATTAATTAAATAAGTACCTAAGGAGTAATAGTCTATATTTTATAGAATGTATATGATCCTTTACATACCTTAATCTCCCCTTTTATCTCATAACCCTCTTTGTAACTTTCACAGACTTTTAGTACAGGCTGAAGCTTTCTGGTTTTGTCATCGTTTCCTGTTTCTATTTGGGACAATCCATATATTGGGACAATACTACCATATAAAATTTTATTAAAAATTATCTAAAAAGCAGTAGTTATTTCTCTTTAATAATTCAATTCCAGCAGATCCAACACCCTCTTCTGACCACTGCAGGCACTGCACAACATCAGTACACTTGCACAACATCAATACACTTACATACACTCAGGCAAAATCCCAATAAAAACATAAAATATAAATTTTCAAAAATTTGTGTGTGAAAACAAGCAAAACGTGACACCTGTCCTGCGGATATTTTCATTTTCACAATAAAATTATTCATTTTGTTTAAAATTTAAGTCCCTTTATAATAGACACTTAGAAAATTTGTTTCTCTGGTGCAATATATGTGGTACACCAAATCAAATGCAGAGAATTGTGTATTCTACAGAAAGATACACAATTGTATCCTTCTGGGCAATGGAAGACCACAACCCATCAACTCTGTTTCTCTACAACCCACTCTATGTAACAAAGCATGCTGGAGAGGAAAAGACCTGACAGAATAAATATGCACCATGAAAGGGGATTCCGTAGATTAGTTCACAGTATTAATCTACATGCAAGAGAGGACAACCCAGGAGCTACACAATCGACAGAGCTGGATGCCTCAGAAGTTCCATTCTGGCACAGAAGATCTGGAAATTTCCTATTGTTGCTATTTAGTCCACATTGGAAGGCCAATGGAGCTGCAGTCTGTCACTGGAGGATTGTAGCAGCAGCAGCAGCAGCCACAAGAGTAGGCACACTCAGCAGAAAGAAAACAAATGAAGGCAGTAAACTTCTTTTTCCTCAGACATCTTTATTTAGGGGCCAATCACATTTTCCCTGTTCACAATCTAAGCCTGGATCTAGATGTTAGGACAGGACACACACATAAGCCAATTTATCCCTTAAGTAATGGAAAACACACCACATATTATCTATGCCTATAAGTGAAAGATGCAAATATACTCTTGCAAGTGGGGACACTGCCAGAGGCCTCTTCTTTTTCTGTTTTATTTTTAATTTGAGAATATTTTATTATTCCAAAGAGAGGCAATTTTTAACACATTTTTTTCAGAAATAACTTGAAAAAGCCTCTTACAAGCATTTTTAGGCAAGTGAATAAACAGGTAAACCTGCCAACAAGATTTCACCCAAAACAGGGTTAATGTATAGGCACCCATGGAAAATTGACAATGACAAGGCCACTCATTTCACAAACACTGATGCACACCTCAACTAAAGGCAATCAGGTGCAACTACCGCACAAACTTCCAGAGGCTGTTAATACGTTATTAGTAGCCACAGGTACATTGGCACAGGTCTTTAACACTAGCAGCACATGGGAGGCAGAGGCAGGTGAATATCTGTCCCACAAACCATGAAGGCTATGGCCATTATTGCTGGTTACATGCTGAAAATAGATGATAAGTCAATATTCCTGCAGACATCACATGCTCTGGTTGTGGGACATGGAGAAATGATGCTGGAATGAGGTGGAGGCTTCCTCCACACTGGCTACCTTGCATGGTGCCAGGTGCACTGAAGATTGCTTGGGGAGAATTAGCACCAACAGTCCCACTCATCTATAAGCCCTCTGTGACCAGGACAAACAGGACAGGAAGAACAATATGCAACAGTTGCACAACTACTCATTGAGTACAACAGAGTTTTCAGATTGGATTTACAGCCCACTACACAGGAGAAAGTTCACATCTGATATTATAAGCCAGGACATGTGGCAGGAGAGGTCATACTCCACAGCAGGGAAGCAACTGTGATTGTTGTAAGGTGGATGTGATGTACCTCTCCAGTTGCCTTCCTAACTTTTCAGTTTATGCCTACAGATCACTACTATTGTCAGCTGCAACCCATCATGGAATGAAACTTCCAATGGATTGTACACCACAAAGACTCAGAACCAATGATGAAGAGCCTGAGAAACGTAAGTACTCTGGCATAATGACTCAGTGTTAGCCATAGATGGACATTCATATCCACCCCCGGACCCCCAAAGACATAAAAGCATTACAAAATATGTAAAAGCCAGAGGAAGGGGTGGACTGTTGTCCAGCAATTTCCTCTGAATTGACACAGTCCTTCTCAACGGGATGCATGAGGTTCAAGAAGTAAACAAGTTATTTCTGCAAAGCCCAAATGTACAACATTCCCAAGGTCACTCTGCAAGGTTATAGAAGCAGGAAACAATTGGGAAAAGAAATTCCCCAACTAACCCAGGGCCTGTCAGTTGTGCAGACATCTCCAGGACTGTAGGTGCCATGAGTCATCACTTAGGCTGAATGGGCTTTTTGGCAACACAGCTATCTGTGATTGTCCATGCTTGCAGAAGTAACCCCAATAAAATAGTTGGTTTACATAATTAGACTTTGGAAGAACTACTTTTTGTGCCATTAGTTTCCTATCTCAGGCGAGGAGGCATTTGCTCAGGTTGCCTCGGGAAAAGTCTCACACAGCACCGTTGTTGTAGGGAACTGAGACAACTCAATCTTTGCCCATTCTCTGTATTCTTGGAGGTTTGAGACTGAGTTCTTATCCATAACTGAAGTGAACTCAGATATGAAGCATTAACACTTGGATTTTACATCTTTAGTAATTTTCTCCCATGAGTTGACATTGAAAGAGCACTGTGGTGTGAAACTGCACTCCTCTGCGATTTAGGAGGTTTGACAACTACAGGCACTGTCACATTCACAGGGTTCTTTGCCACAATTTCCTCTTGTAATCAAAAGAAACATGAAATGTAAAGGTTTCCTCGTTGATAGAGTTTTTCTCCTCTATGAATTTTTTCACGTAATTTAAGATAAATGTGCCATATGTAGGATTTCCCACATAGCTTCCATTCATTGGGTTTTGGTCCAATAGGAATTTTTCAAGTGAATGAAGGTAACTGTGAGATCTAAAGGCTTTATTTACCACACTGTTTACATTGAGAGTTTTCATGAACTAGGAATTATTTCATGTAAAGATAGATAACTATGGTGTCTAAAGGCTTTTTCATACTTTTCACATACACAGGGTTTGTCTAGCATGAATTTTTTCATGTCTTTGAAGACGACTGTTGATGACAAAGGCTTTACCACACTGTTTGCATTCATATGGTTTTTCTCCAGTATGACATTTTTCATGTACCTGCAAGGAAGCAGGAAATGTAAAGGCCTTACCACATTGTTTACATTCATACAATTTTTCTCCTGTATGTATTTTTTCATGTAACTGAAGATAATTGTGATATCTAAAAGATTTACCACATTGTTTACATGCATAAGGTTTCTCTTCACTATGTGTCTTTTCATGTTTTCGAAGATAACTGTGGATTATAAAGGCCTTTCCACATTGTTTACATTCATATGGTTTTTCTCCCATATGTATTTTTTCATGTAACTGAAGATGATTATGATATTTAAAAGATTTCCCACATTGTTTACATGTATAGGATTTCTCTCCAGTGTGAATTTTTTCATGTCTTTGAAAACTACTGCAGTGTCTGAAGGCTTTACCACATTGTTTACATTTATAGGGTTTTTCTCCAGTATGGATTTTTTCATGTAACTGAAGATAACCACGACATCTAAAGGCCTTACCACATTCTTTACATTCATAGGGTTTTTCCCCAGTATGACATTTTTCATGTACCTGCAAGGAACCAGGAAATGTAAAGGCCTTACCACATTGTTTACATTCATACGGTTTTTCTCCCGTATGTATTTTTTCATGTAGCTGAAGGTAACTGTGATAACTAAAAGATTTACCACATTGTTTACATGCATAGGGTTTCTCTCCAGTATGTGTCATTTCATGTCTCTGACGGAGACTATATCGTCTGAAAGCTTTACCACAGTGTTTACATTTATACGGTTTTTCTCCAGTATGAATTTTTTCATGTCTTTGAAGGTTACTGCACTCTCTGAAGGCTTTACCACATTGCTTACATTCATATGGTTTTTCTCCAGTATGAATTCTTTCATGTAACTGAAGATAACTGGAACATCTAAAGGCTTTACCACATAGTTTACATTCATAAGGTTTTTCTCCAGTATGAATGTTTTCATGTCTTTGAAGATTACGGCGCTGTCTGAAGGCTTTACGACATTGTTTACATTTATAGGGTTTTTCTCCACTATGAATTTTTTCATGTGACTGAAGAGAACGGCGATATCTAAAGGCCTTACCACACTGTTTACATTTATAGGGTTTTTCACCAGTATGAATTTTTTCATGTACTTGAAGGTAACGGTACCTTTTAAAGGCTTTACCACATGGTTTACATGTATAGGGTTTATCATCATTATGAATTCTTTCATGTCTTCGAAGAGAAGTGGAAGAACTCAGCTGTTTCCCACATACATTACATTGATAATGCTTTCTTACAGTTTGAGTTGATCCAGATGTGTGAAGTGAACTGCCATCAGCAGAGGCCTTTCTATATTCTTCATATTGATGGACTTTTTTTGCATTGTGTGTTTCCTGATCTATTACCAACAAATGTTGGAGATCAAAAACATTTAAACATGTCTTATATTTCAAAGGTGCATTCATACTGTGAGTTCTCATAGGTCTTTGACAGCTTGTGAGAGAGTTAGAGTTCTGGGGCTTGTTTCCATACTCCTCATGCTCATATGATTTGTACTGAGAGTGAGAGGTACGACGGTTATTAAAGGGTGAATGACACATGGAAACCTTCCCACACACATTGCTTTGACATGGTGTTAGGTCACTAGAAATTTTCATGCTCATATCAGCATTTGCTATCCACGTGACAGTTTCTCCATTCTGAAAATCTTCTTTATGCTCACTGAGTGTCTCAAATACAGAACTTCTGTAAAAACAAGAAAATTAGTAAAAATCGATGTATTACAAAGTGTAGGTCAGTATACTGATTCTAACCACTCCAACAGCTGTTAAAATACCTGAAGGCAAACCCTGAATCCATCACTCTAGAGTCCAGCCTTGGAAGACAAAAGAAAAATGAGGAGGAACCCAATAGAAGGATGCTTTTGGAAGTGCCTGTCAAGAAACTCCAATGGACTCTCATATGAACATTTGAAAATTGCCCTGTTCTGACTTTTTTCTAGTTCCCTGTCTAGAACTTGTAATGCCAATTACTCTTGCCTTTACTTCTCCTTCACAGCTCCTATTCACGATTCAAT